GTTTATGCACCAATCATATTTGAGGAAATTGTAATTGTTATGATTAACAAGTGTTTTAATGATATGCATGACTGTCTTGATTAACAAAACCCTAGCTAATAGACATAAGAAAATCATAGCAGTATATAGCGTTTTTCCTCTAAATGAACCATTGTTTGTGCTTGACGGTTTCTTGCACTACATTTTTCTTGTTCTGCAGATGGTGAAAGATGTCTCTTACGATAATGTTACATTCTCGGTTTTAAACGTTTTGTTCTCTTGGGGTCCCTCTCGCACTGTTAACTGTACTTGACTGTTTACCTGTCCTCGCCCGAACCTTCCAAATTGGAATTTTAGCTGTGCTCGGTGGCTGAAAGGTGCGGGTTAATCTAGCTTTCTGTTTAGGTTGGTATTCATCAGCGCGTTAGCATAGGTACAAGCGTATTTAAAAGCATGTGAATACACTAGGGCGTAAGACTTGCGGCGTACGCTAGCGCAGAATAAAAGAATTCTAGCTAGATACCAGTTGACTCTCGTCAAATAACTCTGCGGCTATAGATCTGGGGACGAGACCACGTTACATCCTTGGGCTCAAACTGCTATTATTGTTTATGCATGCAGGTTCTTTTTCATACCTGCAGTTTGCAAACACGGAAAACAGGGACAAACATTGACTTCAAACATGATCCTGACTAAGAGTGACTTTGAGTTGGTTTACCACCTTATCTAGTAAAAACGGTAATGACCGTAGTGGCATGCTTGCACGTATGTGTTTCGGAAGGGAAACCAAATAATTAGAGTCTAAAACCACAAGTATTAAAATCTAGTCAATNTTACTCTGTCCGATTACAACTCTGCAGATTAATTAGAGCAAAATACAGTAGTTTATGCACCAATCATATTTGAGGAAATTGTAATTGTTATGATTAACAAGTGTTTTAATGATATGCATGTCTGTCTTGATTAACAAAACCCTAGCTAATAGACATAAGAAAATCATAGCACTATATAGCGTTTTTCCTCTAAATGAACCATTTTTTGTGCTTGACGGTTTCTTGCACTACATTTTTCTTGTTCTGCAGATGGTGAAAGATGTCTCTTGCGATAATGTTACATTCTCGGTTTTAAATGTTTTGTTCTCTTGTGGTCCCTCTCGCACTGTTAACTGTACTTGACTGTTTACCTGTCCTCGCCCTAACCTACCAAATTGGAATTTTAGCTGTGCTCGGTGGCTGAAAGGTGCGAGTTAATCTAGCTTTCTGTTTAGGTTGGTATTCATCAGTGCGTTAGCATAGGTACAAGCGTATTTAAAAGCATGTGAATACACTAAGGCGTAAGACTTGCGGCGTACGCTAGCGCAGAACAAAAGGATTCTAGCTAGATACCAGTTGAGTCTGGTCAAATAAATCTGCGGCTATAGATCTGGGGACGAGACCACGTTACACCCGTGGGCTCAAACTGCTATTATTGTTTATGCATGCAGGTTCTTTTTCATACCTGCAGGTTGCAAACACGGAAAACAGGGACAAACACTGACTTCAAACATGATCCCGACTAAGACTGACTTTGAGTTGGTTTACCACCTTATCTAGTAAAAACGGTAATGACCGCAGTGGCATGCTTACACGTATGTGTTTCGGAAGGGAAACCAAATAATTAGAGTCTAAAACCGCAAGTATTAAAATCTAGTCAATGCATTGTTTTGGGAGTTAATTTTGGTGTCGAATATGGATTAACCAAACATTTCAGTAAAGCAAGGTGGGGACTGAATTATCAGTGAGTCAAATGAGACGTTGAGTGACAAGTCACGAGTCAATGCGTATAACGTTTTACCACAACAGAACCGTTATATAGAGGTAATCCTAAACAGGCTAATTTCATTCAGAATAAAAGGAGCACTTTTCAAGGTAACGAGAGAATTATTCGGGCTACCCGGTACACTATTTCAGCTGTTTTAACTGGAACGCGATTCAAGCTAGACGAAATTCAGTTCTATTAGAGACTCATGACCTTTCAGAATTAAAATTTGTGCTTGACACTGACTCTTGTTAAAGTTAGAAACAACGTTAATAAAACGTCAAAGACGTTTCGACCAAGCAACTTCGGCCTTTATCGGTTTTTTAAAAAGCCAACTGAGTGAAGGCTTTCTCACGGTTCACAGATCTGCGCGTGCTACGCCAGCAAAAAAAGTAACGAACGACCGCTGCGCGTGATTGCGCGAGTGATTTGGCTTTTTAAGAAACCGATGAAGGCCGAAGTTGTTTGGTTGAAACGTCTTTGAAGTTTTATTAACGTTGTTTTTATTGTTAACAAGAGTCAGTTTCAAGCACAGATTTTAATTCTGATGTCCATCCCTGATTGAAATTTTAGTATTTTCACTCATGACCTATCTTATGACTCATAAACGCATGTGACTTGTAGAAGAGGGTCCATATACCTCGGTATGATGTCAGTGATGAGGTGGCACATTATAGCTAGCGATTAAGGACGTAAATCAGTTGAAAAATGCCAAGAGCTATACACCACGTACCAGCTGGTAGAATTTTACTGTTAGTGTCTGATGTTGCTGCTCTACATTAGAACAAAGCAAAACAGTGGAACATTTTATGGTATCATTTGAACAAAAGATCATTTACCTCACGAAATCATCCCATGTAATAGCGTTAGTCTATCAAGGAGTTCCATTGTTAGCAGTGGTTTGTTAAGCAGCTGGAACTTAAGTATTATCAATGTCAAAGTCACGTTTCCTTTTAATATAACACTTTTTTTATACTGGCGTTGAAATCATGTGTCCTTCGTGACGTCTCTACTTGGGCAATAGAGCGTCTTGTGTCGTATGATATTAGCCTTGACATTTTAATATGCGTTATGACATGACCTTCGCCCTGACATAAGATTTTGTCTTATGACGTTATGATGTTAGCATTGACATTATGATGTGCCTTATGACATGACTTTTTTCTTGTTGTTATATTTTTAATATTATATGCCTTGTAAATAGCTTATCTTTATATATATAATTTTGGGAAGCGCCTCGCATAAGTACTCTTGTCCCGTTCGCGCTTTCCCTTTTGGGAATTAGTATCTTCTATTTCTTCTTTTTTTGTTTGTTTTCGTTTATTTTTACTTCATTCCCAATAAAGTTTATTAAGAAAATTTTTCTTATGACGTTATGATGTTGGTCTTGACATTGTGATGTGCGCTATGACATGCCTTTTGCCTTGACATTATAGCGGAGCTCCGGCGGCCCAAAGGGCCGCCAAGCGCAGCAATATAACAATAGGAAAGAACCACATGCATGCATAGAAATAGAAAACCTCGCAACTATTTCTTCATGGTCAACAAGGCTAGCGGCACGGATGGCGGGCGCGTGCGCCCTATGATGACGACGACGAAAACGACAGCGACGTCGCGCAACACCGCGGCCATACTAGTAGGTCTATCAAGGTATGCAGCCTTGGTTTACAGTGTACGTCTTTAATATTGGACATCCACGTTATGGTCAAGTGACACTTGTCAAAACGAGGTATCCGCTGACCAGTATCACGTGACCATATCGCGGGCTAAGGTTTAGAGCCCATCGAGTTCGCGCGTTACTTAAAGTTGACCGTTGCCCGGGTGCTGGTTTTCGATTGGATCGCAGGCTTAAGCCAGGTTAACTTATTGTAACCAGGAGATCCGCTTTAAGGCGTGGCTAAATCTATAGATTATTGTGTCTTATGACGTAGTGTTTGTTTTGATATTGTGATGTACCTTATGACATGACTTTCGCCGTGACATAATATTGTGCTTCATGACGTTTTGATGTTAGTCAATATATTCTTCCTCTTTCTTTACACGGTCACCAGAGGTGAAGCAATTTTACCTACGGCCCAAGTTTCCTCTATTAAGACACCTTGCGATGCGGGGTAATGTTTTTCACAGACAAGTCGTAACTTGGTGTATAACACGTGAATCGAAGGATACCACTCTTATCGTAACTGAGCATAAAATTCAAACAAAAAAACTAAGCTTCTTGTATAGGTAGCTAACAATCTTTCATTTCAAAGTTACGTGTTCTCTTACAGTGCAACGACTTCATACCCTGGACACCCGAGAACTTTAAACCAGTCGCAGCACGATATTAAATGAAAGACTCTGAGTTCGAGTGTGATCTCACCAACTCTGTTGTAGCAGTACCATTGTTAGCCGTTGGAACGGACATTTATGATCGGCTGCTAAACAATGCGTTCAAATTTCGTTGACTTCAACAGCACTAGCGACAGACAAGCAACGAAATTTAATATCATTTGAAACCAGTGCGTAGGAGATAAGTTTCACCTTCCAGCGACAACGTCATCATTTGAAACAAATATCCACAAATGACTCTCAACTCCACTGAAAAGTGCGGAAAACAACCTTGACGCTTTGAACGTGGCGACAGCAAGATTTTTAAATGAACCAGTCAGCGCGACCCAACCCGGGCTTTAGCGACTAGATTGATTGCGAACACAGTGGATATCCCAGTTCGGAAGGCAGCTGCAAAATTTATTTCTAAATCAGTATTAGATATTATTCCGTTTGCAACAACAGAGCAACACTGAATCCACTAAGCGACAAAAATAATTTTTAGCCTTGGAACCCAAAATTGAGTGCATGCATGACGAACGTCTATTTAAAGTGTGTGCGATGAGTTCAAATTATCTTTGTCACTCGTTTGTTGTGCTGACCAAGTGAAAATGGGAATAAGTATTTGAGGCCCGGGCGAAGGAGGGGGGGGGGNCTTATATGGGCTATACAGGTATGAGTATATAGAAGTACCCCCCCCCTCGCGGGGAGGCTAATCAGCATTACGTGTTCCAACGGCTAACACTCACGACGCAACAAATGATTGGTGAGCTCACAAATAAACTCAAATTCTTATGGTTTAAAAGTATGCTTTGATTGACTGAAAACTCTCTGAAGTCGTTGTAATAAAATGAAAACAGGGTGTTATTATACTGCATGTCGTGCGTTAGAAGCAGCAGTTATTCCGTTTAGACTGAAGGGCTAACACGCCCTTAGCTCAAAACGTTAACTTATACTGAATCGAAGAAATACGTTAAATCTTTCTGGAATAAAACAAATAGATCAATGAGTCATAGCAAATACCCAAGAATTTCATGATGAGAATTCATACAAAAACTGCAAAAACTTAGCAAAACTGGCGGAAACACTTTGTGTTTATGGGAAAAGACAGTTATTTCATAAATTTCAATAAGGTGTATGAACTACTCAGTAAAACAGAGACGAACTAACGAATGAATGAAAAAATCAATGTCTTTCTTCGACCAAAATGGTATTAGTGATGTAGAAAATGCGTGGGGACACTATAAAACCCAAAAATTACAAAGTCTAAATATTTAAATAAACTTAAAATGTTAAAATTGGACAAAATGACCAAATATTTACAACATATAGATAAATAGCTATAGAGAGTACGTAAGTTATATCGCGTTGTTTGACTAGGAAGATAATTTACAGATAGATATTTGAATCCTATTTTTTACGAGGAAGAAAGAAGAAGAAATTGAATTCTTGTAATGAAGTAATGAGTTATACAGAAATTATTCGAACTAAAACTTAAACTTGTTTTTTTGCTCAGATCTATAAAACGTAAGTTACAGACTTCTCTGGCTTAACCAGCTGAAGATCAGGCTTCCATAGGGATCGTGAATGCCGCAAGCCCTCAACAATCATTAGCACGCTTTTGTACGCGCATCGTATCCAGGCACTGCGACATAAAGTTCGCCGCAAGCCTGCACTTCTGCTCACGGTAAACACATTTAGTCATTTTAAAAGTTTAGATCTTAAAATCGACAATGATTAGATAACAAAATGACCTCATTGCCTGCCTCATCCAGACATTTTGTTATTAATTAAACTTCGTTTTAGAATGTTTATATATTCAATCTGCTTCAGAAAATAGATGAAGTAAGTCGACCAAAAGAGCTTGAACAGTGAAGTTACCGCCATTCAAATTTGGGAATGTATCACGCGTACAAAAATTTAAGAGTAAGCATATGCATATCTTTCATGGGATCCCCTATTGCATATATTGGCTAGGCTTTATGTCCATTTTGTGTCTGTACAAGACGAGCGAAGAATCCATTCTTATTTTGAAGCAAAACTTCAGGTTTGTCAAACTCAACCACTCGTCCCTGCTCTATAACCAAAACTTTATCACAGTCCATGATGGTGTTCAAGCGATGAGCGATGGTTACTACTGTGGAATCTTTAAATCTGTCGCGTATAACTTCTTGAATCAGTCTGTCTGTCTTGAAATCCACATTAGCAGTGGCTTCGTCCAGAATGATGATCTTGCTTCTTTGTAACAGCGCANGCGAATCTAATTGGTAAGTAGGTAAGTTATTCCGCTGTCGTCCATTTTCCCTTCAAATTATAATTATTATATTCTCATCGAAACACCCGGGGGTTGGGAAAATTCTCGAAATTCATGCAAACTCTCGGGCTGCATAAGCATCTCGGATTCTCCCCTTCCCTCTCATGTTTAGATGAGGCTATTTAAATACAGAAAAAAGTATTCTACTGCTTGTGATCTAATTGTCAAACAATGTACCTCATGTAAAATAACTAGGAGTCTTTTACAAGGACTGCTGTTACAATATATTTTCGGATTCTCGATCGACTATCGATCCTGCTTGCAGTTATGTTATGATGCATTACTAATGCAAATGCCGGTATCCCACGTACATAAACGTACTTTCCGTACATCTACAACGCGCCGCATGATTGCTATGAGTCCTCCTCAAACTCCTCCTTACTGTCCCCCGATCCACAACTGAATTGTGGACTTTGGACTGGAAGTGCAACGAAAGTTCGGATTGATATCGCGATAATTACCAAAGTGATCTTCGCTGTCGACCACATCGCCCCTGTGTTTCCATAGAATTCGCAAAACTTTTTGTAACTGTCCGTGTGCAGGGAGTGTATGTGTTCCTTATTTCACAGCGGTGCAGTGCATAAGACACATTCGTAACCCTGGATGTTTAGAATCTTGAATTGATAGCACTTGCCTGAGATCGGTACTGGGATATTTATTATATCGAAATTTGCCAGCGAAGTTCGCATGTAATCTCGGTACACAACCCCGTCTGTCTCGTAGCGGCAAGTTGCTCGCCAGTGGGTTGACTGTTTTGCAAGCCATTGAAGATATGTTGGACGGAACAAGTACGCCTACCAGTTGTACATTTCACCGCTGACAGCATTTGAGTCAGTGTAGTCCGAAAAGACAACGCCTTAGAACGGAATAAAACAATCGAAATCGTGAGTTTGGAAGCATGATTTTAAGATACCATTTCGCCGCGTGGAAGATCCTTGTTTTCTCTACTCAAGCTTTCCTTGCGTTTTGACGTTCCTATCTTTTTCTCCCCTCCTCACTTATTTTCGTACTCGGTATATCATCAGTTTCTGCGAGCAAACGTTAATTAGGGAGATTAAAAGGCAGAAGTCAGGTAAGCTAAGATAAAGTACAGCACTACACTACTCCTTACTTTTATCGTAATTTACCGTAGAATTCCGAAAGTGCGAAATCCCCCGTTACTTTTGCATTTAGCAGGTAAAAGGAGCCGCTACTTTCGGGTAGCCGTTACTTTCGGGTAGCCCTTACTTACGGGTAGCCGTAACTTTCGGGTGGTAAAAAACGTTTGTACGGTAACAGTCGTTTCAGACAAAGCGGACACGTAACACATGAAATTAAAAGTTTCGTTTATGTATCTTCTAGCTACCCACATAACCAAAGGGGGCTGTATAAGCAAAGAAGACCCTAAACGTTGGTACTGTGGGCCGAAAGTATAATGGTCGCAATAAATCGCTACTAGACAAATACCAGCAGCTTATAAATCATAGTTTCAAGAAGTTAAGTGACTTTATCAAGACATGACGCTTCGCTTCTGTGAATCTGATAAAGAAGTCTTTATGCACTGGTTTTTAATACAACAATTATTTTAACATCTTTTAAAACGCTGAAAGATGGATTCGGCTAACGTGTTTACATCCTTGTTCCCACCCAATTCAGACCGCATGGTGATCCATTTGGGTCGTTTCAATTAAGCAACTTGTCCCACGCAACTGATTGCATGCATGTGGGAGTATGTTCTAACAGAACATTGTGACTTCCCGAACGAAGCATCACATGACCTGAAATGGGTGGCAACAAGGGTGGAAAAATGTCGGCTGAATCCGTCTATTAGGAATAGCATAAATTCAACCAAAAACTTTGCCTTTTTTGAGAGAAAGTGTTTGACCACAGCTTTTAAAACGTCGTAACCAGGCTAACAAAACTGTGGTATACGGTGTCCCCAGCACCACAGAGGCGTAACCGAACTGTTTACAAAGCACCTGTATAAGTGCCACAATAAAAGTGTGAATTTTTAAGAGGCTAGTGTTATATCATGTTCATTAGTGCCTCGAGGGGGCTATGACATAGCGCGCGCCAATCCCAACTTATTCGCCGGGACGAGTTGCATGAAAGCGAGGCTAGTTGGGCCTCGGTGTTTTGTTTTGATAATGCTTCCCCAGAAAAGTCTTGCTTCGTCGACGATCTGGCCTGTTTTATTTCGCTATGCCTGCGAGTTTTTGTGTTCCTGAATGCCACCAAAAGGGATAGAAATCGTCCAACGTTCGCCTCTAAGGGAAAATAGTGGACCCATGCAGTTCGTTGAGACGAAGGAATTGAGTTCACTATCGCCGAGGGAAGTGAAGTTTGTTCGCTACAATTTCAGGTTGGAAGATCTTAGAAAATCGTTTAAATGACGAGCTGATGTGGTCTCTGGTGGTGTTCCAACACGATTTTCATGGCCAGCACCTCCCCACAGTAAAGAAAAGCTTCTCTTGAGGGACATCCTCGGTCTCAAAGAAGTTGTCTAAGACCGAATCGCACGAAACAAATATTGCGGTGGAATCACCAAGTGAATGAACTTCAACTGCCCCCGTCGTCGAAACCAGCGAAAACATTGAGCCAAATGACAACGACTAGGAGCTAAATGCGGTCGGTGACACATTTTCTAAGATCTTCTAGCCTGACATCTAGCAAACAAACTTTTATAGTTCCCTCGGCGATCATGAACTCCTTTCCTTCGTCTGTTTTCCCCTCAGAGGCGAACGGGGAAACGAAAACAAAACTTTCTCTCCCGCGGAAGACTTCACTCCCTTCTGGTGGCATTCAGGAACACAAAAACTCGTAGGCATAGTGAAATAAAACAGACCAGATCGTCGACGAAGCAAGACTTTTCTGGAACAAAACACCGAGGCCCAACTAGCCTCACTTTCATGCAACTCATCCCGGGCGATGACCGAGTGGTCCGCCATATTTGCAAGGGTGTCTAATATACGAAATCTCATATACGCAAGGCCGTGCGTATATAAGATGACGTGTGCAGTTTCAATTTAGCTGCAGAATTTCCGTCGTTTAGAGCAAGTTTCTTTTGTTTTAGTTTCGGCGATGTGAAGATTTTTCTGAGCAATCCAAACCCTACTTCGAGCTTTAGACTTTTGCCAAGCTAAGATATTTACTTAAACTTGAGTATTTTGACTTTGTTTGTTCACATTTTCATTGAGTATTTTTGACTTTGTTTGCCTACATTTTCATTACAATTAATTCCACGAAGCGAATTTTTCATTGACAATTTTAGAAACAAGGATAAGCGTTTTTGATAAAACTGTGCTTAACTGAGTGTGGCGTGTTGGGATCCTAATGACCTTTGTTTTCCTTCACCGTGCGACGTGAGAACTTTGTAGTCAATCACAAACAAAACATGTTTAAGCGCCCAAGTTGTTGTTGTCATGTTATAAAAGAATTGGTTCATGCTTTTAGCTGTGCATGTATCGAGTTATTGATGCACTTGGGAGGTTTGGAGAGCACTCAAGAAGCTAGAGTTGCTCCATGCTCTTACGCTTCTTTCGTGCTCTCCAAACTTCCCGCGTGTATCCATAACTCGATATACGCACGCTAAGCATGAACCAATTTTTTATTCATGTCTTATGTAATAAGTCAAATTATTCTAGCATTTTGATTGGTTCTCATCTATGATCTATTAGAGGACAGGTGCATAGATGACGTCATTATAACAAACATTTCCCAGAATAATTTCAGAATTTACATAATATTTTACGTGACTGGGCGAAAGATAAGGTATAAAAAAAGTCTTCTCGAGACTGTGAACAGGTACGAGAAGCAGGAACAAGAAAGAAAAAGTCGTTTCTTTTTTAGAAATTGACTCTCAGTCCGCAGTCGAGGGAGACTAAACCGAACACAAAATTAGTATTAAAATTATTTCAAGGTAGGAAACCATTGCTTTGTCTCAAATCTAACAAACCCAATAAGCAAAATGCTTATGAGATCAATTTATTTAAACAATTCAACTTTTTAAGCCTCAAAATAGTTGTTTACGCAGATTGGTGTCAGAAAAAAAAAAACATATCCCATACAGAGAAAATTGAACCCCTGACGCATTTCTAGGATTCACCCTGAATCATTTTCTAGAACCTTAGATTAAGTTAATCCTTAAAACTCTTGGATGACTCAGCCGTTCGTTCACGTTTGTTGAAGATATTTTTCAGTACCTTTTGCTATAGTTACCTCTAGCCTGCAAAAGATACTTAGTTTACTGCTGATAAGATCTTGCAACAAAATATCAAGGTAAAGTGTAAAACCCCTATCTAAGCCTTATACCCAAGGTAATCCCTCTTAAGTTATTTTTAGACATGATACCGAGTTCTTCCGCGGATGTTACTCACGCGTTGCGTGAGTAAGACGTGGAGGATACAATTAGACCAAAAAATGGTGAACCACGCGTCCTGAAACAAAAATCTCCAAGCTCGTTTGCAGTCTTAACTACACAATCACAGCGGAGGAAAAATTGTTTTGCGGAGGTAGTTCTAGCGAGAACGACGAATTTCTGGGGTTCAGTCCGGTCATAAAACTAAAAGGTTGAGATAGCTCTCGCGAAAGTTACCTTGACGCCGGCAGAATTAAACCTTACTTTAGGTATAAGGGTTATACGGGGTATTAACCCAAGCCTGACCTTGTTTTGTATCTTGAAATAAATTCCCTAACGTTTTCTTCCAGTCTTAGCAGGTTTAAAGACTACTGTTTTAAGGGCAAGCTGAGTTAGAAGCCTGAACAAGACGAGCCAAGAATCCATTCTTATTTTGAAGCAAAACTTCAGGTTTGTCAAACTCAACCACTCGTCCCTGCTCCATAACCAACACTTTATCATAGTCCATGATGGTGTTCAAGCGATGAGCGATGGTTACTACTGTGGAATCTTTAAATCTGTTGCGTATAACTTCTTGAATCAGTCTGTCTGTCTTGAAATCCACATTAGCAGTGGCTTCGTCCAGAATGATGATCTTACTTCTTTGTAACAGCGCACGCGCTAAACAGACCAATTGGCGCTCTCCGACACTGAAGTTGCTCCCAGACTCTCTCAACTTGTAATCCAGCTGGTCAGGTAATTGTTGCACCAGGGTCTTCAACTGCACATCTTCCAAAGCACGCCACAAATCATGATCTTGATACAAAGAGAAAGGGTCTAGGTTCTTCCTGAGGCTGCCGCTAAAGAGGACAGGATCCTGGGTTATTACGGCCATGGACCTGCGAGACGCCTGAAGATTGAGATCCTTGATGTTCACACCATCTATAATGACCTGCCACATAAATATAGTTGGTTATTATACTACTACAATTTGTTGGTGGGCGCCTGTTATTCTATTTTCCTCAGTTTCTATTAGCAGGAGAAAGAACGGATCACGATTAAAGAAAGTATATTAATGCAATCTAATATGAGCATTATTTCGAATTATTTGTCACTCGATGATAGCGGCTCGTGACTGTATTACACTGTATCATGCGGATTGTTGTTGATGTTGGTTTTAAGAACGTGCTGCATCTGTGTTAACAGAGCGCAAGTAATGAATAGCACAGAACACGAAAAGGAACATTACTTACTTGACCCTCAGGCTCTGGCATTCGGAAAAGAGCCGCCACTAAAGACGATTTCCCAGCTCCGGTTCGACCTACAACGCCAATCTTCTCCTTCGCAGCGACATTGATGTTGATGCTTTTCAAAACTGCTGGGGCGTCTTTTAAATATGACAAAGACAAGTCGTGCAATGTTAAGCTTCCTACTGTGGGCCAGGATTCATCTGGTACTGTGTCAGTGCTGTATCCAGGCTCTGATTCAATGTTGGTGTAATTCAACACCCTCTCTACTGACGTCATATGGCTTTCTGCTTCTGAGACCATGCGAATCGCGTATTGACACACTTCTAATGATTCCATTACGAACGCCAAGGACATTCCTGCTAAGGCTAAAAATGGACATCTATCATCATTCAAATCAACAAATCGACAGAATGCAATTATCCTGACAGGTGTTCTAAGGGTACTGAATTATTTTGTACATCTGTCTCTTATGTAGCATGTGTTTTTAATGGCTTGGCTTCTTCCTGGTTTGCCGTTCCGAATAGAAATTCTTATTTACCATTTGGCGGCATCGTTTGCACCAGCCAAGCCGTGAGAAAAAGATAAAAATTTATATCTCAAAGGAATTTCCCGACCAAAATTCCGTAGTTTTTTAAAAAATGATACACGACTTAAGTAGTTGAGAACTAAAATCATTCCATAGCTGTTAGTGCCCATTAGAGCGTTTTCACATCATTATTAAATAACAAGGTTATCCATAACTAAATAATGTTGGGGACAACTTGCTAAGAAGAGTTCGACGTACGCTGCGTAAACCGAAGTGCAAGTTTTGTAAATAATCTTGTTCAGTTGTCGACAACTGTCACAGCCCGACGGGGAAAAACTACTTGTTTTAAAATAAAACTGCATAGTTATCGTTGACTAGCTCTCTGGTCTTTATGTTACTCTTTTACGGCTGTGTGAAAGTAGAAAAAAAATCAACGTACTCTCAGATATTAAATAAACACAGCAGTAAAGGTGAAAGAGAATACTGCAAATTTGTTCTTGGCAGTTTTGACTACCTGGGCTTTGAGTTGCGACTAGGACTCCAGCTGACACTGACGTTAAAAGAAAGATACTGATAATATCTCCTCTGATAGCAAGCCAACGTGTTGATGCCTTGAGCATTATCGATGCTGGAGTGTTCTTATCTAAGAAACTAAAAAACAACAGATGTTAGTGACTGCACTAGGAAGGTCGTGTATATATACCGCTAACTTGATGAATCAACAAAAAATCAGCTTGAAGCGAGAATAATTAACGTTTTTTGTCGGATTAGGTCTAGAATAATTCATAGGAAGCATTGGTCTCGATCACTCTGTTCTTTTCAGTCGCATAATGCTTTCCCAATTCATAAAAGGTGTGGAGTTCGTTTGTAGTCTATGCACTAAGCCTAGCCCAGGTGAACAATACTATATCTAACCAAATTGCATCAGACATGGTATCATTACATTGTGTTTATGGTTAGGCAAGACATTTTAGTTTGTTTTCTCTTTGTCTTGATAATACTCGAGCCCCTGCAATATCGTAAAATTTCGGTTGTAAGAATATTCATTGCACCTCAATACTGAATTGGTGGTCAGCAACTTGGCACAATCCATGATACCCAAAACTGAATGTAGATATGTGACCAACCTATAAAGTCTGTGAAGAAAACTATTCTCCATCTCCGAGGAGCGAATTACTTCCAATCCTGCCACAGTGTCAGCGATACAGGAATACACTGGACTGCACGTCATTGAATCTAGTCTCCTTATTTCCCGGGCGGATTTCATGAAGTATTTGGTCAAGTAAATATATAGCGAGGCCAAAGGTGCACAAGTGATGACTAGCCATACGTTTGCGACCGCTGAGAGAATGGTAGCGGCGAAAAAATACAGCAGCAGTTTGATAGCAAAAAGGAGTTGCCCTGGAAGCAAATCGTCCATGCAACCAATATCTTTAGAGAAGCGATTTAGGATGCGACCAACTGGATTTGTGTCAAAGAATAGAACTGATGCTTTCATAACTGTGGTTGTCATCTGGTCATGGAGGTTTTCCGACGCCCTCAAAGCCGCGAGGTAGAAACAGAAGGAGGATGCTATCGTAAGAAGCAAGGATACCAAAGCAATAGATCCGTACACCACAAGGTTAATGTTTTTTTTCTGTTGTTCAGATGGCATCTCAGTCATCCGGGACAGCCACCAATAGGGTGCAATCCAGGACACTATGTATATGAGAAAGCAATAAAATTATCGTTCATAACGTTAGTATCAAGATCTTAAAATTAACAAGTTGTTAGTAATAAATTTATTATGGGTTGTTGACCAAGCGTGTTCAGTCAAGAACGCTAGGCATCGGCTGATATGAGATCTTTTTCTTCCTTTCTTGCTCAGTCACGTAAATGAAAAGTGAACTAGGACAACATTCAGCCTTCTTGAACGAAAAAGCTTGGTCAAAGAAGGATTATGTAGCAGTACTGCGGCAATCTCGAGTAAGCCAGGTGGCCTAAACGTTAGCAGGATTTGAGATGTCTCCGGCCAAGGCTTGACCGATCGTCGAGTGCACTAACTCTGAGATCCCATGTGCTTAACTAAACGCTTGTATAAAAAAACAAGTCATTTCGAGAATCTACTTACACTGAACAACAACGAAGAATACAGCAAGGGTGGCTATCGAAACAGTTGGCAGAGCAGCTCTAAGATATTTCCAATACACCCACCACTTGACGGTTCCAACCATTCTGTCCTCGTCTTCTTCTTCGAGATCTATTCTTTCATTCTGTTTTTCGACATTAAACGATCTAATTGTTTCGTACTCGCAATTGTCTTCCCCATGTTGTTTATCCTGTTCGCATCTCTCGTCATTGACCTGGCTTCCTGTCACTTGCTTTTGTCTCTCCAATCCATCGTATGTTCCCTCGTACACAACCAAGCCCCTCTCTAGCATGACAACATAATCTGCCTGTTTCAGAAATTGCAACTGGTGAGTGACCAGAATACGTATTCGTCTGTCCAAGAATTCCTTGACGCATCTGTCAAACAAATGTTTACCGACTTTGGCATCCACTGCACTAAGAGGATCATCCAATAGGTAGATATCAGCATCTGCATAAATTGCGCGTGCCAGACTAACACGTGCTCGCTGACCACCACTGAGGATCACTCCACGTTGTCCAATCTCGGTTAAGTCACCTTTTGGAAAACGTGATATATCAACTGTCAAGTCGCATGCTTGAATAATTTCAAAATACTTTTGTTCAACAAAAGTCTTTCCGAATAGAATGTTCTCTCGCATTGTTCCAGAAAATACCCAAGGTGTCTGGGAGACGTAAGCAATTTTCCCGAGGCAGGAGGTTTGACCAGCTGACACTGGAAGTTCCTCTAGGATGCTCATCAATAAAGATGTTTTGCCACTTCCAACAGGCCCTGTTATTCCCACAAGCTGTCCACTGGTAGCTTTCAGTGAGACGTTTTTTAAGGTGGGACGTTCCAGCAGCTGGTCCCAAGAACACGAGATGCACTCGAGGACAATCTGGAATGGGGTGTGCTGAGGTGTCTCTTCCAATTTACGAGCACTTAGCAAAACCGGTTTACTGGACCTAAAGCTCTCAATTCTAACAGAATGATGTTTGTATTTTCTTTTTCTAAAGTAAACCTTGATCTTTTTTGGATGCTGCCCTTGGCTTGTTAATATTGAATCAATAGATTCGGTTTCAAGAAACCCCTGCATCCTGTTGCACGCGGTTTTTGCATCTGCGATATAGCGGAGAGATTCTGCAATAAACAGAGTCACATTTAATTTAATGTTGGCTAAGGCTGAAAGCAATGTAAAAACTTGTACTGGTGTCAGTGATATTCCTGTGAGAACAAGAGCCGTGACTGAAATGAGGCCTGCAATTGCAGAGCTCGTGAAGAACAATGCGTAGATACTGGAAATGATGAATACCCTGAGGCGGATGAAAGAGATTTCTTTCCTACAACAGAAGTTAAGTAAAAAATGGTTTGATCACACAAGGCTCTGAGACAATAATAACAGCCATTGATAAAATCTTGATCGACTGTCATTGACCGTTTTAAAACAATGAAATAAATCTCGTATTTCAAGATGGTATTACTGTAGCATATTACATATTAAAACTTTAAACAACACTTCTTGGGGTACTTTTCTAAATTAAAAAGGGAACAATATGAGGCCAAGTATACCACATTTCGAGTCAGGAGTCTAAATAATTCATAAAGAGGTAAGAGGCCCGTTGTGTAACGGTATTTGTTTTACTGAAGTCGTTGTAAGACTGACTAGTAATCTAGGATATATTCTCTTTGGCTCGCCAGCCAATCCCACTACACCCAAAACCATACGGTTTTCAAGTAGAATCCGAATCCCGCTCGGGATACCAAAGTTTTATTTTATTTTATTTCAGTGTGTCGAAAGCCGCTTGTAAGTTATTTACGTCTTTCTATTATTGTTTCTAAGACTTTTCTTGCTCAAATAGTTTATATTGTATTTGTTACGTAAACGGAATTGTCGGAGAGGAGCCATCACACACAAATGTCCCGAAGGAAAAATGACCCTTGGATTGAGCGCGTCCTATCTACTCACATCAATAAGTTGCCACGTACCCAGCGAAGTTGCCCCGATGGTGTAGTGGATGTCACGTCCGACTAGTATGCGGGGAGACGAGCTCTCGAATCCTGTTCGAGACACGAAGTTTTTCTTTCATTTCAGAGACGTGTGTTGGAAGTCGTTTGTAAGTTATTAACGTCTTTTTATCATTAATACGGTTTTTGAAGAATAAGAACACGTGTAATAGCTCCGTTATTTTAATTTATAAACTAATTTACTCGTTGGCTGGCTCGTCTAGGTGTAAGTACAATGATCATCATAATGAATCACCGGCACTAACCTTATTCTTGCAACTCTGAAGTTCCATTCCCAGGCGTACATCTTCATAGCTCGAATTCCCTTAGTAATCTCTTCTATTAAATACAATCGTTTATCGATTAGTTCTGCAGCATTTCTGCGCAACTGCCCAGCTTTTTTGGCTGCAATCGATCCATAGGCAAACACAATAACAAGGAAAGAAGTTCCAATCAACCCTTGCCAGGAGCCTACCATCCAAACAATTGCCAAGGAGATTGCGATGTCTAGTGGAGAAAATAAAATGGCCAGAAGTGGAACGCCTAGTAGTTCGATGGTTTTAGCGTCGTTGGAAACAATATTGATAATATTTCCTTGCATCACGTTTCCTAATGCTCGTCGGTTTAGAGTGAGGAACTAAAAATTAAACAAAACAAGAGCATGTCATAAACCTTATCATAAAATAACCTTATAGTGACTAACTTACATCACGGTGGGCACAGAGAGCGCAAAATGTGGCCGCGAAATCCGTTTTCAAAATGGCGGGAAGTTTTTACCCCTTGGGGGTGGGGGTTAAACTGCTTTCTTTTTGTTATGTAAATCATTAACTTTGAGCCCATTGCACTAATAGGTAAGCGGATACTGCCATCTGCCACAAATGGTCGTCGCCAAAAATAGCTTCAAGCTTTTAGCTTTCAAACGGTACCAAACTTGTGTGGTTTTTTTCTGTTTAACTCGACGAAAAAGATCTTGCTGCTTAAGGTATTGTGAAAACTGCTCTTCCTCTTGTTATGTCTTATTTTTTTGTGCATTTTCGATTTCAAAAGGCTTTTGCGTGGATCATTATTCAGTGGCAAATTTGAATGTTCTGGGAAAAGCAATTCCTGAAGAAGAAACCTCTGTTTTTTATTTGTTAAAATCTGTTATTACACACCGATATTTAGTCATTTTATAATTAAGGTTACTTGCTCGATAGGTACCTCTGTGAAGCAGTTCTGGGTGACAGTTCTTGGGAGGAAAGTTCAGCCTCAGGCGTTCTTTAGCTTATCAATGCGATATGTTCTCGAACAGAGGAAAGATAAACAGATAAGTAAACACTATCTAATACCTGCACGAGGATGCCTATGCCGAAGAAAAAGGTGTACGCAAGATTCAATGTTGGAGTTATGATGAGGGGGCTGAAAGAGCTACGAGAAAGAAATGCCCTTGAACATGAAAAAGTTTTGACAGCAGCGCGAGATCTAAATCTTAAGAAAGCTAAAGTACGAAGACTTGAGTAAGAGGTAAAAGGTTTTTTATTTTGGTTTTGTTAGATTCAGCTTATACTGTACATATTTAAATAACTGCCTCTCGAACTGCATCCTTCGAAAGGTTACTTGCCGCCATATTGAAATTTGTTTTCAGTGCGTTGGGCAACCGCTGACATTACGCACTGCCGACCCCCGCCACATTTTGAGTCCTCTGTGCCCACCGTGCACTGTCTGCCTTATAAGCTTTGCTGCCGATTATCAGGCAAATTGACAATAAAATACCAGGAAGCAGGAAGAAAGAAAAAGAGAAAAAGGTGGAGAAAGAGGAAAAATAAACAAGGGGAGGAAATGACGAGAAAGATGCAAAAGGGAGAAGGAGAAGGGAAATGGAGGAAGGAGCAGGGAAAGGAGTAAGAGGATGGTGGAAGAGTACGGACAAGGAGCAGGAACAAAGGGGAGGGAGGAAAAGAGTGGGAAAGAATGGGAAGGGAGACAGGAGAATGTTTTGGGAGAACGAAGTGGGAGAAGAGACTGAGGATGGAGAAGGAGTAGGGAGAAAGAGGAAGGAAGTAAAGAAATGAAGAAAAGGAAAGGTAGAGAAGAAGGAGGTGGAGACGCAGGTGGAGGAGGAGGAGATCGAGAAGGAGAAGGAGAAGAAGGAGCAGGAGCAGGATAGAAGAATTAGAAATTATAGAGTTGGGTGTAAATGATGAATTACTCACCTTCTTATAAACAAAACCAATTACTGCAACTTTCAAACGAATCGCTGTCACTTCCACTTTAAATATCCAGTGCATGTTGCAAAACATCCTTACACTGGAGGTTAAAGCATTGCTAATAACAAAGCCTATCGTTGTCGAGTAACTTGCTTTTGAAGCTGTTGAAATACTTCTTAGAAAAAACCACAACATCAAAGGCAAAGAGTTAGATGACAGTGAGTATAATATCCTAATCAATACTACTGTCACATAGTCTCCAGGGGCGTAGCGTGAGATTTTGAAGGTTTACGCACAGCGCTGAAATTGGGTGCGCCGAAGGCGCCTGAAACTAGGGGGGTCTGGGGGCATGCTCCCCCAGAAAATTTTGAAATTTAGGGTCTCGGAAATGCAATTTCCAACTATTTCCGGGGAATTTTTTTATAAATAAATGCGACGAAAAATGCAGTGGTTAGTCGTTTATTTTACCCATCTCTAGAGTTTTCGGTAACCTACAACAAAAAATGGGGTAAGACAATGGTAAAAACAGGGGGTTCACAAGAAAAGGGCAAGACGTCTACCCTTTAGAAGGGCGAACTTTGTTATAACATCATCAGTGTCAACGTCCTTGTGCTTGTGAATGTGCAAAATTGCTATAGAGCTCAATCTCCCATCTGCCATGGTAATTCGTAAGGGCGTTTTCAATCTCTTCATACTACGGAAACTACGCTCGGCAGTGCAAGCAATCTCGTTCCCATAGTCTCCGTTCTCCTTGACCAGCGGTCGGAAAACGAGAGCTCTGGGAGCAACCATTTTGAAATAACCGAATTCTGCCCATCTGGTTTCACTGCGCAGTCTG